ATATTATAATATAATATTATAATAACAATTAAATATATTATAATATTATAACATTCTTTTAGATATATACTTTCAAATATTCATGTCACAAGTTCACTATTCTGTGCAATTTAATTTTTTCTTCTACGCTTATTACGCGTTGATACGTGACAGCTGGTATACTTTGTCGAAAATGTACGCGAATGATCTGTATTATCTATTCTTGCATTACCGGTCTTGCGCTCTTATAGACAACCCGTCGTATTGATCTGTATGTTGACGAAATACCCTGTACACTCAATATATAAGATAAAAATATTCTTGTATTTTATATTATATCTTTATCTTCTCTTAGAGAATACCAGAATTTAATTTAATAAAGTTTAAGAATGTAAAATGAAGCATTGTTCATATCGTATCGTAAGTAATGTCATTAAAATATCCATATCATTAAATTATTTTACATTATATTTCCTATTTGGCATTAATTTGTACGCAAATTAATATATTCAATCATTTAATTGCTATAGAAGCTGAAAATCCATTTTTCCACATAGAGTTGATTCTAAATTATTAATTATAAGAATTAGGGATGGCTTTCATCATGCATCGTCATGTATAGTGTAGCCACAAGATAGATTTAAAATTTCGATTATAAATCATTTTAAATCAATCGTTAGAATATAAAGACAATATGCCAATTAATCATGACATTGATGGAATGATTAAAACGTCAGTAAAATTTTCAATAAATTTAAATTGCACTTTTTCTGCTTTTAATTCAAAACCACTAAGTAATAATAAAATGATTGCAAATAATAGTATAAATAATATGGCTTGCTTAAAAAATGTTTATTTAATTTTTTAAATTTCTTAATAGTTCATTTTTAACAGTGAAATGACTAAGCAATAAATCGAGAAATTTTTTTATATTAATGTATAGAGAATATACAAGAACAATATTAACAGTAATTAAATTTCTTCACATTTTGTTGATTCTAGTACGCAAAAATTGTAGAATGTTTAATATAAGATGTTGGAATGCTATAAATGCTCGATAACATTTGATAGAGAATTTCACTTTATCGCGCAATAAAATTTAGTATAGAATTTTTAATAAATATGTATAATATTTTTTTAATTTATAAGTGCTTTTACTGCTGCTATTTTTCTATTCAGTTATGGCTTTGAAATATGTACTATGAATTTTCAAAATAGCTTTGTAAACGTCGATAAAATTATACCAATATTATGAGATTATATCGATTATATGAGAAGAGAATAACAAAAATTATATTAATATTGCGAATTAGTTTACACATATTAGTTACTAAAAGAGCGAAGAATACATCATGAGAAAACTGACAAATATAAAATATCGTAAATCGAAACACACCATGTCATCGGAAAAAGTTTCCAGAACTTTTAATTTATCGGACTGTACATGTATACATCTAAGATCATTCAGAAATTACGGGAAATATTGTTGAGTTCACATATTAATGTTTTTTGCATGTTCGAAAAATGAGCGACAATCGGAATGTTATGGTTAAAATATTTGAAATATTTGTATCATTCATTAACATATTCATCAATTCGAAAAACGACATTTTTCTCGTTATGATACTCCGTGACGTCTATAATATTATTTCTTTAATTCCGAAATATTAAATTGCGAATTATAAACCATCTAATTATATATTTCTTTATTATGGCGAATACAAATGATAAATGGATTACAAAAACAAGATAATAAGCATTCTTATTTAATATACGATAAAAATTAATTGTTTGTAATGATTATGAAAAATTAATTGTATTTTATGTTATTTCTTATTTTAATTTCATGAGTAATAAACCGGGCCTGCAGAACGGCTGTTTATTTTGATGTTGTACTTGCTTGGCAGTGTTTCTTCATAGCAAAGAAAAAAATTAAAGAAATCTTAAATCTTTGTTAATTTACATTTTTTTACTCCTTGTTGATAACTTCTTTATTTCAAAAATGTAAGAAATATTTATCGTCCTTCAATTTGGTCCATTTTAATTGAAGATTAAAATTTATAGATTTAAAGAGCAAGAAATATTTTCTTTCTCAACAGATCATCAATATTTATAATGAATTAACCACACACAACTTTGAATTCGAATAAGAGTTATTGCTTTGATCGATTATTGAAAAATACACGATAGATGCAGTATTAATAACATATTTAATTGAGCTTCCCATATAGGGCTAAATACTTTTGTATTATATAAGCATAGATTAAGAAGAACATTATTTACAAAGGTTATAAAGTGTAATTATATACTTCTTATTCTTGGAATAAATTAAAAATTATAATGGTAAATATTATATAATCATGAGTAACAAAATTATTAAGTTTTATATTTCATCTATATATTTTAAGTTTAATACACATATTTGCTAAATTTAGTTAATACTAAATTTTAATATTAAGTAAAAATATTTAAATATAATTAATTAATGTTATAAATATATACATATGTATATACGAGGCACAGTAAAAGTGCGTGAGCTTTCTAACATTGCAAACATCTCAATAGATCGTGTTCACAATATCTTACATGAACATTTGCATATGAGAAAGCTCTCAGCGCGATGGGTGCCGCGTTTGTTAACGGTCGATCAGAAACGCATTCGAACGAACATTTCTCAAGAGTGCTTGGACTCCATGAATTGCGTTTCGAATTGTTACCACACGCACCGTACTCGCCAGATTTAGCTCCCAGTGACTTCTTTTTGTTTCCGAATATGAAAAAATGGCTTGCTGGAAAAAAATTCACGTCAAATGCGGAGGTCATCGCTGAGACGGATGCTTATTTTGGAGGTTTAAGCAAATCGTATTATACTGAGGGTATAAAAAAATTAGAACATCGTTGGTCTAAATGTATTGAGTTGAAAGGGGACTATGTTGAAAAATAAAAAAGATTTTTGCTGGAAATCATGTGTTTTCTTTGCCAGGCCGAGAACTTTTCGAACTACCCTCGTATGTGTGTATATATGTATATATATATATATATATATATATATATATATATGTGTATACATACATATAGATTTAAATGTCAAAAAATATTTCTTTCTCAACAAATCATCAATATTTATAATGAATTAAACACAACTTTGAATTCCTTAGTATTGAAGTGTTACTACTTTGGTCGATTATCGAAAATACAGGATATGTGCAGTATTAATAACATGTTTTATTGAGCTTCCTATATACATATGCTAAGTATTATACTTCCGTATAACATAAGCATAAATTAAGAACAACATCATTTACAAAGATTATATAAAGTGTAATTATTTACTTTCTTTTCATTGTTGGATTAAATTAAAAATTATAGTGGTAAATATCACATAATAGCGAGTAACAAAAATATTTGAGTTTAATAAACATTTTTAGTAAATTTAGTTACTACTAAATTTTAATATTAAGTAAAAATATATAAGAGTACTTGATTAATGTCATAAATATATACATATATGTATATATTTATATTTTTATATACGTTATATATACATATATGTATTTATAATAAATATTATATAAATATAATTAACTATACACAAATATTAAATTACTAAAAAGTCAATGTATATAAAAATTACTTAAAATATAATTAAAAACAATTGAAGAGTTATTAACAATTATATGAGAATAGTGATTAATTACGTCAATTCATATATCTTATCCAAAACGATTATTCTACATTTTTTGTTTCTATACAGTTCGACACACTAGAGATATTTATATTTTTGATTGGTAAACAAAGATTGAAGAAATTCTGTCTGTCTTTGGATCTCCGACCGGCGTATTTCTATCTTGCGTTCAATAACATCATGAACTTCGAAGGGATACTCGGATTCTCTAATCTCATGTCTGATAAGTTTATCTAAAAAAGATTTTAACAAGTGTCATCAATAAATGATTTTGTAATTGTCACAGTATCATACAAGCAGAGTTTCATTGACAGAATTATGAAACAAGGTATATAGAAGATTGTGTATAAAATATATAACATACAAATTGTATGTTTTATTCGCTGTTACAAATTTCTATAGTAGGTATGGGAAATAATATTGAATACTTATTGATAATATAATTATGTTTGTAAATTTATAGTTTCTTTATAATAGCAAATAAAAAGTAATACTTTTAGTCTAGCGCCTTGATGAAGACAACCCATCGAACGCTACTGATAGGTGTGTAGCAGAATCCTGTACGAACTGTGGGCTAATCGACTTATGGGGCCTATTTTTCTATACACTGATTGAATGGCAGAGAAAGTGAAATAGAAATGTTTTGTTATATTTTTATTTTAAAAACTATTTCAACAATTGCTCAGAATAAGTAAATTTATCGTATACACAACATTGGACTATGTTTCTGTTGATTCTAAAATCTAATGAACTCGAGCAAGGCTCCGAACAATATGAGTATCATTTTTGGATCGTCGCGTTAAGATAATGAATTTGCAAACATAAGTTTACTATCACAAAATTCAATTTTAGCACTTTTACCCAGCAAAAAATATGTGTAACATCGACCTTGAAACAACATATTATAAAAAATATATTTTATAATAAAAATTTAACGATAAATATCAAACTTTGATTCAATAAGATTACCACGCTCAATTGTTTCTCAGAATACGCATTGTTAATTATAACAATTAATACTATCATCTCATTGACTGTCCTGTAAGAACAAAATAATACATTTCAATAATTAATATGTACAATAAATTTTCGTATTTATGTATTTTCAATTATAAAACATTATTACCAGTAATAATATATTAATTTTCTGAAATTATTTGATATGTATTTAAGCATATATTTAGTATTTCTGGCAAGACTAGAAAGAAAAATGTTAGCGATTAAAGCTTCAGTTCGCTCTATCGATTTGGATATATTATAAGATAAATTGATCATAAAATATTATAAGATAAATTGATCATAAAAGTATGTCTAAATGTTTCAAAACTAGCTGGTAATTTTTCCTCTAAATAATTGACTGTAATTTGAATACTTTTGCTGTAAGCTAAACATTCCAAAATTGTATAATCAATTTTTTTAACGGAAAAATTAAAAGTTTTATTCCATGCAGAAAGATCTGGTAATTTTAAACCATTACAATATGTCCACCTCTTCCATCTAGGCGAAAGTCTACAAAAGAAAATCCAGAAAATAATTAAAAATATTCGAAATTGTACTAATTGTTCTAGTGTTACATAAATAATTTTTGACGTGTTAATTTTTCAAACATGCCCATATAAAAAATATCTCTATAAAGAATCAAATATTATAAGAAGAATTACTTGTATCTTATAGGATTTATCAGATTCCATTCCAATTGATTATGTGCCGTCCTTTTGCACGTGTAATTATTCATAAGACATTGCCACTTTGCGAGTTCTTGCTTTAAAAATTTAGTATGATCATCATATCTATCTTTGCTGAATAGATTCCATTTTAATTCAAGCGGCTTTCGCACTTCCTAAAAAAGAATCTTTTTATTTTTTTCGTACTATTTACAAGAACGAATATAATATATGTGCAAATACATATATTTTAACTAAATAATTTTGTTTTAATAAGTAGGAAAGGCCGGGAACAAAAGTAACATTGTCATGAAAGTAACAAGCCTTCTACTAAACTACACAATATATTAAATATTTTGTACTATATAATCAAACGCGTACGCCCCGATTCTTTTCCTTTTTAGCTAATTGTTGTAGAACGATTGCACCGATTGCACATGCAGGAGTGAAATTAGTGTATATTTGTATTATTCATCTAAGTATTTCTTGTTTAATTTTTTTTGTATCTATGCCTAATTAAAGTGTATATATTGACGTAATTATTTGCCGATGCATTCTTTTAAAATATATTCATAAGTTTTTATAGTTGATTTGGCTAACTCTTGCATCATATTTAGATATAATGCTTTTTTCTAAAAAATGTGTTTGGGGTTTACGAAAGTAACACGACGCTCTGTAAACAAAGGTAACATATTTTAATACATAGTTTCAATACTAATTATAAGGACTGGTCCGATAATAACTGTACCAAAAGCGATTCTTATTACGTATGCCATAATTGTGATTCGGAATAAATACTAATATCTTTTGTATCACTGAGAAAAATATCCGGTGAAAAGGTAACTAACAGATATTATCCGATTATTAACCGATCACTTTAATCGGATATCTGATTTCGGAAAGTTCCGAATTTTGAACTTTCTGATCAGACATCAGATCGATCGATATTTTCTGATTGGATATCTGACCGGTTTCTTTTTTTTTTCGATTAAAGTGATCGGTTAATAATCGGATTGTCCCCGTCCCTCAGGACAAAAGTAACAATCAACGTATTTGCGAAAAACTATAATAATTATTTAAATATTTATCATTTGAGATTGAAACATAGCTATAATAATAGAGCAATAAATGAAGTTTTTTAATATATAATCTTTTTTTTATATCTCTAACGATAATTAATTAGTGATCTATATTACAAAAAGATGTTACTTTTGTCCCCGGTCTCCCCTATATAAAATTTAACTTAAACTATTACAATTTCCAAATATATTTACGGATCATTTATTTGAATAATTATTTACATATTTTATATCCTTTAAATACATGCATTATTAACATGTATATTGCACTGTATTACATTGACGTATTAATCGATAAATTTGCTATATGATCCTCTTTTTTCGATGTTATATACAAATATGTTTTAAATGTACATATCACGCGCAAATATTGGTTTAAAAATTTCAAATTTGTAAATATTCATTTTTTATAAAACAGATATTTACAAATAGATTAATATGTGCTATATAGAGTGTGATAAAATTAAAAATTTAAGTCAATTTGTGTAAAATATTTTATGAAGTTTTTATTACCACCACAAATATTTTATATCGGAAGAAAATTAATATAAGCCTTCGTTAAGTATAATATTATATTATAAGGTCAATAAATACTTGGCTTAGATTTCATATTTTCTATATCAAAATATGATTAAATGATGTTATTACAATATATTGTCAAATATCTTCTTATTAGCTACATTATTTACAGAAAATAAAAATAATAATTGCAATATAGAAACATGTCCTTTGAAAAGGAATGTCTCTTTTAAGAAGCAAAATAACTGCCTTATTACTCGTATTTTTGTATACATATATTCAAGGAAAAGAAGATTTATAAGTATTTTATTGTAAATTTATTTAAGGTCTTACCCTACTTGTTGAATCAGACGTTTAAGTTAAGTTTAATTCCAAATAAACATTCAACAGCAATCTTATCGCTTCAAAAGACTGTTATAAACTGACGGCACTGTCGGCATACCTGAGAGTAAATATACAAGATACATTGTGTGTGTGTGTGTGTGTGTGTGTGTGTGTGTATGTGTGTTATGTGAATATTTCACACACATCTTGATTATATATATATATACATCATAGAATTTTCTTACTCATCGATAAAAATCAATATGTACATATTTGTTTTTGTATGCTCTCTTTTTGTATACGTTCTTGTATTCTGTTTTTATATTTAAAGTTTTTATTTGTAACGATTGTTCTTCTGGAGAAACATTCGCGAAATAAAATTAATTAGGGAATCGCATGTACAGGGTGCTTCCGCAACATACAGATCCGTAAGTCGGGTTGCCTATCTGACAATCGATCTTCTTTTACCGACCTCGCATAATTGAAAAATAATAAAATCAGAGGATCGATGTAATTTTTTTTCGTGAAAAGTGAAAAAATTCCTTGATACCTTGAATGCAAATTTGTAGGGAATGAGGAAAGTGAAATCAGCTTTTAACATTGATATAGTGTAATTGTAATATTTAATAACATAAATAACATTATATTTAATAACATAAATAACTTAAATAACATTAATAACATGACAAATGACACAATTGAAATATAATAACATAGATAAAATATAATGAATTTAAACAAAAAACTTTTATTTTCTGATTGGACTAATTTTTTAATAGTTACAATATATGCTCAATATAACCACCATTCTCTTCTAAACATAAAGCAATCCTCCGCATAAAATTTTTCCTTACTCTCCGAATCATCGGAGGAGTGATTTCCAAAAAAAATTACATCGATCCTCTGATTTTATTATTTTTCAATTATGCGAGGTCGGTAAAAGAAGATCTATCGTCAGATAGGCAACCCGACTTACGGATCTGTATGTTGCGGAAGCACCCTGTATACACTCTATATATAAGATAAAAACATTCTGCATTTTATATTATATCTTTATCTCTTTTAGAAAATTCCAAAATTTAATACAAAGTCTAAGAATGTACAATAAATAAAAAAGAGTTGTCCATATCGTAAGAGTTGTCATTAAAATATTCGTATCATTAAAATATTTTACAATAAATTTTTCATTTGGCACTAATTTGTACGCAAATTAATATACTCGATCATTTAACTACTATAGAGACTAAAGATCCATTTTTCTACATAGAATTAATCCTACATTATTAATTGTAGAGGTTAAGAATGGCATTCATCGTCATGCACAGTTGCCACAATCGATAAATTTATAATTTTATTATTGTAATTTTGAGTTTGAAATAAACTAACAATAAAAAAGAAGGAAATGTTGTTTCTTCCCTGCGCTCCAATTACCGTGCTATCATGTGCCAATTTCGATTTAATTTTCTATTCTATGTCATTTCTAATTTTATGAACAATAAACGGGATAGAAAAACGGCTACATATTTTGTTGTTATACTTGCTTAGCTGTGTTTTTTTCAAAGCAAAGAAAAGAGAAAAGTTAAAGAAATCTTAAATCTCTTTTAATTTACATTTCTTCACTCCTTGTTGATAACTTCTTCATTTCAAAGATGTGAGGAATATTTGTCGTCTTTCAAATTTAGTCCATTTTAATTGAAGATTAAAATTTATAGATTTAAAGAGCAAGAAACATTTTCTTTCTCAACAGATCATCAATATTTATAATGAATTAACCACACATAACTTTGAATTTGAAGTGTTACTGCTTTGATCGATTATTGAAAAATACACGATAGATGCAATATTAATAACATATTTAATTGAGCTTCCTATATAGGGCTAAATACTTTCGTATTATATAAGCATAGATTAAGAAAAACATTATTTACAATACTAAATACTTTCGTATTATATAAGCATAGATTAAGAAGAACATTATTTACAAAGGTTATGAAGTGTAATTATTTATATACTTCTTACTCTTGAAATAAATTAAAAATTATAATAGTAAATATTATATAATAACGAGTAACAAAAATATTAAGTTTTATATTTTATCTATATATTTTAAATTTAATACACATATTTGCTAAATTTAGTTAGTACTGAATACTAATAGTTAATAGTTAATACTTAATTTATTAAAATAATTAATATTAAGTAAAAATATTTATAATTAATATAATTAAATATAATTAATTAATGTTATAAATATGTACATGTATATATATATATTTATATATATGTATATATATGTATGTATATATATATATATATATATATATGTGTATATACATTATATATACAATACATATATGAAGTTATAATAAATATTATAAATATAATTAACTATACACAAATATTAAATTACAAAAAAGCAAATATATGTAAAAATTACTTAAAATAAAATTAAAAACAATTAAAAAATTATTACTAATTATATGAAAATAGTGATTAGTTACATCAATTTATATATCTTATCCTAAACGATTATGCTACATTTCTGGTTTCTAAACAGTTCGACACAATATAGATCTTTATATTTTTAGTTGGTAAACAAAGATTGAAGAAATTCTATTTTTGGATCTCCTATTGGAGTATTTCTATCTTGCGTTCAATAACATCAAGAACTTTGAAGGAATACCAGGATTCTCTAATCACATTTCTGATGAATTCTTTTATCTAAAAAAGATTTTAACAAGTGTCATCAATAAATAATTTTGTAATTGTCACATTATCATACGGGCAGAGTTTCATTGACAGAATTATGGAACAGGGTATAAAGAAGATTGTGTATAAAATATATAACATACAAATTGTGTGTTTTATTCGCTGTTACAAACTTCTATAGTAGGAATCGAAGCGAATATTGAATACTTTTTGATAATAAACCTTCGTTTGCAAATTTATAGTTTTATTGTGATAGCAAATCCTAAAAAAATTACCTTTTCAAAAAAAGGTAAAAAAAAGAAGTCGAGTCATCTCAGTAGTAAAACATTATTGTATATAACTATTTTACAAAAAATTATTTTAATAAAAAATTGCTGTATTAAAAAAAATGGTGTAAAATAGTTGTCATAACTATCTACAGAAATTAATGATATATTTAAATAGAAAATTACATCGAGAATAAAAGAGTGCGATTTTATTTTATGTTTATCAACAGTGTGTGTGTGTGTGTGTGTGTGTGTGTGTGCGCGCGCGCGCGTGTGTGTGTGCGCGCGCGCGCGCGCGCGCGTGTGTGTGTGTGTTAGATGATTGACTGCTGATAAATAATTAGATGAAGAAAAATTATGTTTATATTTTCGTCGAAAGTTATCTTTGTCGTAAAAGTCAGAATCCCGATTTCTTCAACGATGAACAGTTGATTCATGTAGCTCGTAATTTAAAAAATTTTAATTATTAAAAAACTCGACGCTGCTGAATAATATACAAATAAATTTGGCAGCGTGGAGTTTTTTTAATAAATAAATTTAATAATTAAATTTTTAATAATTAAAATTTTTTAAATTACGAGCTACATGAATCAACTGTTCATCGTTGAAGAAATCGTTTCAGACTTTTACGACAAAGATGTAATAACTTTCGACGAAAATATAAACATAATTTTTCTTCATCCAATTATTTATCAGCAGTCAATCACATCTAACACACACACACACACACACACACAGACAGACAGACAGACAGACACACACACACACATACACACACTGTTGATAAACATAAAATAAAATCACACTCTTTTATTCTCGACGTAATTTTCTATTTAAATATATCATTAATTTTTGTAGATAGTTATGCCAACTATTTTACACAATTTTTTTTAACACAGCAATTTTTTATTAAAATAATTTTTTGTAAAATAGTTCTATACAATAATGTTTTACTATTGAGATGACTCGACTTCTTTTTTTTACCTTTTTTTGAAAAAGTAATTTTTATAGGATCATCTTAACTTCGAATTTATAAGGTATAGAAGAAAATTTGTGCAACCAGATTTGCACAATAAAAAAGGGGTTTAAAGTAATAAATAGAATCACAGGAATCAATTGATATAAAAAAAAACACATAATTATTTTTAAAAAATGCTTATTGCAAATTTATATATATTTTTTAAAAACAATTATGTGTTTTCGTTGCAACTGATTCCTTTCATTATTGTATACGTAAAGAATTAAGGTAATATAATTTGAAAATAAATATTTTATGAGATGTTTTTTATGTTTTATGAGAAATTTTACCAACTGAAGTTACATAAAAGTAAAATAATCGAAAAATAAATATTTTATAAGGTATTTTTTATAGTTTTTGTAAAATCTTATCAACTAAAAGTATAAAATATATCATAAACTTCAATTTTTTATTATTCTACCTTCATAATTTTTTACGTGGAATATTGCGAGGAATTGATTTATATATAAAAAGATTAGGATGATTCTATTTAAAAATAAAAATAACCGTGATATCTTCGAAGTGCCTCCATCTGGAAAAATTATTATTACCATATCATAATCCCATTTGTATCGTACAATTTTAATTGCCCAAATTTTCTTCGAAGTCGTATAGATTCGAAGATATTTAAGGTGGTAATAGTTATTACCTCACTCTGCATAGATGTGTTTGAGGGGGGGGGGGATATTAAAAAGTGTGTTAAGAATCTACATATATTACATATACAGAGTGTCCCAAAAGTCCCGGACCGATCGAATATTTCATAAACTATGCACTTTAGAAAGAAATATTTCAGACAAAAGTTTTGTGGCTTGAAGGAGATCATCAGATAGTGGCAATGATTTGACTTTGGAGAGTCATTTGAAGGTGACGTACAGTTTATCTTCAATTTCTTAAATGGAACTCCCTATTTTTTGTTACATATTCTTGTAGCTTATTTCGAGAGCTTTCCAAAACACTATAATAAAGTATTTCTTCATTGAGTACTTCTTGAGTTATGGGGCTTGAAATCATTTTTTAATTTTGCATAAACCATAAAATATCTAGTAAAATATTCATTTTTCGATTATCTTACCTTAATACTTTTATGTATAAAATAATGAAAGGAATCAATTGGTGTAAAGAAAACACATAGTTGTTTTTAAAAAAAATATATAATTGTTAATTGCAAATTACATATTTTTTTCTTATATATTTTGACATATTATATTAATAAAGAAAATAGGCAGTTATCATTTTGTGGAATATAATTATGTAATTTATAATTATATATATATATATATATATATATATATATATATATAAAATATATATTGGTTGCGAAGTCAAATATGTACATTTCTACACACACACACACACATTGTGTGTGTGTGTGTGTGTGTTGTGGTGTGTGTGTGTGTGTGTGTGTGTGTGTGTGGTGTGTGGTGTGTGTGTGTGTGTGTGTGTGTAAAAATTTACATATTTGACTGCACAACCATAATTATAGTTACATAGACATTTATTACATTTGCCTGCGTAGACACAAATATAGTTACGCAGAAATATATTCTATATATATAATTATTTATTATAATATATATATATATATATATATATATATAATAACAATAAATAATTATAATATTATATTCTATAATAAATATATATATGTACATATATATATATATATATATATATATATATTTATTAATCATAATTATATATAGATGTATAATGATAATTATATATATATATATATATATATATGTATATATATATATAGAAAGATACATATACATTTCGATCAAAATTTCTCGTTTATACATTATAGAATCGTATACAATTATGTATGATTGTATCTGAACTATATTTGTTACTTATACATATTTATATATGACGCAAGACTTATATATTATTATATATTAAACTAACAGAAATCCACGTATAATTATAATCCATGTATATTAAACTAACAGAAATCCGTGTTACTTATACATATTTATATATGACGCAAGACTTATATATAATTACATATTAAACTAACAAAAATTCATGTATAAGTATGCACAATGCGCACTTATATAATTATATGTAAAAGTTATTGCACTTATATGTAAATATATATAATAACCTGTACTCTATTATTTATAATTATACATTTATTTGCACAATTATACAGGGTGTCCCAAAACTCATAATCAATCTTTCAAAGACAGATTCCTGGGATCATTTGAAGATTTTTCCTCAACGAGAATGTCGAAGCACTAATAATTTTCGAATTATAGGTGATTGGAAATAAAGGTTTTTTCGTAAACTAAGCTTTATAGAAATAAAATATTAACAAAACTACATTCTTCGATTAATTTTAAATATAGTTTACTTTAGTTGAGTTTTAATTTAAGGCTTAATTGCAAAGATAAATCTGTCTTTTAAAGATTGATTATGAGTTTTGGGACACCCTGTATATGGTTATGTAAAATTATATCCAATTCTGCATAAATATACATAAAAAATTTATTACCAGGAAGTTTATTTGTTTAATAATTTTTCAATAGTGAGCGATTAAAAATTTTACATGTTATTCTCGAGGATATGATAATCAAGTCGGGAATAAAGAAGTATAAAAGATAGACGCAAGTACCTATCAATATCATTTGGAGTTAAAAACGGTAAGAAGTGTGCTATTAGTGGAAATTGCTGATCTGCCAATCAAAAGTGAGTTTTTAAATTTTTTAATTTTTTTAAAATTTTTAAATTGTTTTTAATTTTGTTCAATTTAAGAGACTATGGTCACACTTCACGGTTATTGTAAAGATAAATTTTCACGTTTTAATTATTCTAAGAGGTTCAGTACATATTTATCGTTACGAAAATGAATTAAAATTAAGATCTTCAAATGAATGTATTGAATATGCTAATAGAGCAAGTCCCGATAATCCTGTCATGATTATAAAGAAACACATTGTTTTTTTAAATCTTATGTCAGATTTTATCGGAGGAATTGGGATTGATAGAATGCATTGCGTGAATGGCGGTGTCGCGAAAAAGATATTATTACTAGTTTGATATTAAATTTCGAGCTTTTCCGTTTTCTGTGTATGCTGTCATTGATGTCATCAATAGAAGGCTTATGGCAATCAAACTGTCAAAATATATGCATCGTATGCCGCGTTATATATAAGATTTACTCCACTGGAAAGCAAAATTGAATAACATGGCTTTCATTATTCTGTTCCAGTTCTCAAGAGAATTTTAAGACAAGATTATTTCAATCATTATCTTCTTCTTGTAATAGCAATATTCATATTAAATTCCGAACAAATCATTTTCCATAATAAATATTGCTCAAAATTTTTTAAATAAATTTGTGCGTAAATTAGAACATTTGAATTGCAATTTTGTTCGTTTTTTTTTTTAATATCTCTCAACTTGATACTCTCTGTTTGAGTTTGTTCAATATTTCCGACACTTACCAAACAATGTTCTAAAATTCGTAGTTTCATGATCTTTCTCTTGCTTAGTATACGAGAATTTAAATGGTAAACTTTTAAAATTGGTGGAATGGAACGTGGCATATTGATGCAACACAAATTACAACAAAACGATATAATTACCGGTATAATTATAGTTTATAAGAAATGATTAGATTAATAAATGAAATACCAAGAGGTTCCGTTTATAGTAAAACCGATAAGTAAAAATAAATATTTCCAAATTACTACAGTGTTGATGCTTATAAGAAATTACAGAGATTACAAATATTATTATTACTCCAATGTACAATACAAGAATTCCTAAAACGGTTTCATGGTGGTACTCCATATTTTACATTATTAAAAAATAACTGCTTACATGTGTCGCGTATAAAGCAGATTTACAGACAAAGTTTACTGTTGTGAAATAAACATATAAATAATGAAGGTCAACTGCAATTCATTGCTTTATTAAAACTATTCATCAGAATTGCAATAAAGAAAAAGACATTACGCGATTGTACAAAAAATTGCGATTGTGTATTTGTTGTTCGTGATGATTATAATACAACCGATATTAATTTTTTTTACAAAAATATCACAAAATAGATAACTTTATAGCTATTTCCTAATGAAACTTTAAAATGTGTATGCGTATATATGAAAATCGATAATCAAATGTAGATAGAAATGCCTATTAAAAAAGAACTAGAATAGTATATTTTTTATGTATATTTATTATCGATTTTATTATATTCTAACATTAATTGCATTAGTTTGAAATAATAAAAATTATTATCGATTTGTAAATCGAGTATTAATATATTTTTATTAGTGCTGAAAATTTCGAGGAAAATTTGAAGGTTTAAAAGAGATAAAGAGGTAAAAGTTGTAAAAACAAAAATACAAGAATTCAATTTTAATAAAACGATTATATGTGCAATCTAAAATTATAAGAAAGAATTTTTATTTTTATAGAGAGATAGAAAAGTTAAAGCAAAATCTTATTATTCGAAGATCAAGATGCCTACTTATTTTGAAGGTGATATTGTGTGACATTTTTTGTTTTTCCGGTCTCTGACGGATCCAATATGGCAATCAGAATTAAAACCATCAAAATATGTATAAATACGAAAAAAATAAAACATATTTTTCATAAGTTATTACAAATTTGGTGCCAATTCGAAAAATTTCAGAGCCAATCTCCAATATAGACCTCATAAAAAAGGAAATTTATGGAAATCTCCAGATATAAAATTTTTATTATTATTTATATTATTATGCTTTTATATACTTATGCTTTTTTTAATTTAAGTGTCTCTTTCCAAAAATATGATATTATCAAAAAATATGATTATCGTTATTAAAAAAAATATAACTACTGTGACGTGACGCTTGTGAGCTCCGTCACCATTGCCCTGTCGAGGGGAAACAGCGTGCGCGGGGTCGTTCCTCGCGCCTGAGAGGGAATTTAAATATGAATTTATTCGTAATTTTAAGATTTATTTTAGCTTTAATGTAAGATCCGCGAATAAAGTGCGGCTGCTGTGCGAGCGTGCGTTATCTCCTTTGTACATGAAGATACAGCCAGATACCGGAAGGAGAGGGAGCCGTATAGGAAGATACCGGATATGCCGCAGAAGATACCGAAGATACCGCAAGAAAACAAAAGGTCATGTAATGAGATCCCGTACCGTAGCTATGCTTAATTCTGCAGGAGATTAAATCTGCATTATTTCAGATTAAAAGACGGCAGAACACCCGGACGACGGGGCGGAAGACAACCTCCCAGGCGGCCGACTGGGGAATAAAGAAGATTCCGAAAAAGACGAGGATACGGCCTGGCCAGCCGGTCCCGTCTCCAAGAATTAGAGATACCGTCGCCCGTGGGTTCTGGGCCCCTGCATAAGGGCAACGCCGTTCAACAGCTATGACTCGGGAGGGGGCGGAGAATCAACCCCCGTTCATCCGAAATTGACGAAATGCGCGGAAGATCGGCGCGGGATCCGAGGACCTCACGGAAGCACTTGAAATTCGTCACTGTTCGGTGAGCTCGTGCCACGAATACACGTGTGACGAACCACGAGGAAGCGACCCCGAAGGAAGCCATAGCCGACGATCAGTGTAAGCCGTCGCACAGGTAGCCTAATTATTGTTCATCCGGGATCAGTTGGCGTCGTTTTGAGATACCGTCGCAGGGCGACGAATATTTCGTACAGCTACCGCGTAAAGTAATTGTACTTGTACCGTAATTGCCGGACGCCAGCTGTCCCCGGGTGTCGCGGATTTGTTCCTCTCAGGGGGTTCGCGCCGACAGTCTCGTGCCGTACCGTAGAATTTTACATCGTTAATTACCGTTAAATGTTGTTTCGTGTCATATTAAGCGTATATGTTACCGTTATGTTACGTGCCGAAATCTAAGTCCTAGCGTGACGTGGCAATTTTGGTCGTTTCGTATCGCATATCGAAAGGCGGGATTTGCGCGAAAAATTTCTTCGCGAGCGTGTGTTACCGTAAATGAACAATTTGCTCTGCAAGAATATTTGTTACCGCGAAATCTCCGCTGAATCATCTTCCTGTTATCGCTTATTCAAAAATTCTATTGTTCGACTTAGAGTCTTTGTTGCCGAGTACCCAAGGTCGCGAGAAGACCGTTAAATAAAGCAAACAGTTCCGCATAAACATTGTTACCGCTACCGTTTTCCGAAGCCTTGGTTTTTCTGCCAAAAATATACCGTGAAATATTATCGCCGATTACCGTACCGAGAAATCGATTCGAGATATACCGAAATTTTTGGAGAGACGTGGGCCGTTGAAACGATACTCACAGGACACTCGATTATTATATTCTATTCATTATCCGTTACTTTTGAATAGTTGTATCGCAAATTACCGTTAAATAGTATCTTTAGTTTCGTTCGATTAAAATCGAGATTCGCGCGAGGCTCGTGCCTCGACCTGTGTTCCGAAGTCGTACGGGTTGATTGTACGCCGACCGCGAGTCTTATCCCGATTACCGCTAATCACCGTGAATTATTGTAAGAAATACGTTCAATTTTTATCGAAATCTTGCGGCGGGTCTCACGACTCCGGCCGTGTTCGGAAATTTGACTGACAAGGAAAGGGTCGGAAGTGTCCCCCTCCGATTTTAATGAGCTTTGAATATGTTGTAGTCTAGATCAAAATAGGAGACACGTATTTTTTTATAAGTGCTGAGTCGGCCGTTAAGGGGGTGAAACACCTTCTTGAAAAAAATCGATTTTTTCATTTCTCAGCGGATACCGTCGAAGCGATAAGAGATATAAACAAAAGTTTCAAATAAAAGTTTTATGGTCTTTAATGTACTTCAAAATCATGTAATCAGATTTGTCGAAAATGTCATATTTTTCGAAATCCCCCCCCTCCCTTTTAATGTTTGAAAATTTTTAAATTTGTCTCATAACAAAACTTATAGCTCATTTAACGACAAATTCAATCATATATAATAAAGTTGTATTCCGAAGTCACATTTTTCAGAAATAAATTAAAAATATCCCTATACACTACTATACGCCCGCTTTATCCGCCTTATGACGCTCGTTATTCACAGCGACAGTCATTTTTCTTCGCAAACTCACAGAGGCAACCATAAATTAGCAATAAATAATTTATGAGAATATATTTTTATAAATTATAGAAATTATATTTATAAATATAATTATAAATTATATAATAATTATAATTATAATATATGTCTATATTATGTGACAATAAATATACATATAATTTATATGGAAAAGTAATGTTTTTAATGCATGAAAAATAAAACTAGTCGGACAAGGAAAATTATTGATCAGATGCCGATGTTAATAGATTCAATTCTATGAATAAACAGATGTCGCATTCGCGAAATGAGTTGGTGCAATATATTATTTTATTAACAACTGCGTGCAGTGGAACACATATTACTATTAAAGCGTCTATCGAATATACGCGAGCGCGATAGTAAATATATTTATATATATAAGAAAATAATTAAAAGGATTATAACTTATAAAGCGAGCGAAAAAATGCGTCGCGATAAGAAAGTCAGCTGCCCGAAGTGCTGATACAGCCAGTATCACACGGCCAAGTCATCAAACAGAGGAAGAAATCACTCTCGAAATAGCGCTGAATTGCAATAAAATGCGAGGAAGTCTTCGGACTTCCTTCGCTTGCATTTTGATCACGCCACTTTAGAAATAACCAATGATTTTATTTGGTCATGCCACCGCGCGATCCTCCTCCGATAATCGTTCAGAATCGGAGGCGTTAAAAGCCACCGCCTAGAAGCGGCGGACAGTCACAAATCAGTTATCAAATAATTAACAAGTGCTCGAGTTAATTAACAAGACTAGCCGTTATCCTGAAAAAACAATTGTGCCCCACGCACACAACAATACAGTATGTATGTACTTTTTCGATTTTTAAAACTTTTATAGTTTTTTGCTTTTACTTACACTTCATTCAAAATTGCGGTTTATCTGTTTTGTTTTAATGTATTTAAATTATAATTAATATTTTATTACTTTATTTAAGTTATGTGATAAAACTGTTCTATTTTTCATGAAACTCGGAAAACGTAACAAATTATTAATACGCATTAAATAATAAAATATTTTTGTTGCTAATAAGTATTTTTTTGCTAATATTTATAAAACAAATATACATAATGTTAATAATTTTTTTAGATAATGTTTAATCCAAGAAATGTAGCAGTACTGCTATACACTGCACTGTATATGACTGGGGAATTCCCAGAAAGTCCTGTTACAACAGATGAAAATGAAACAAAAGACATGATGGAAAATATGCTTCGATCAATGTATGAAGAAGCGTTTGAAGTTTATGAAGAATCATCATTAGATTTTCAAAACGAATTTGATATACCTGAAGTAGAACCTGTAATTGATGAAGAAAGAGAAGAAGACACATATTTTGTAAAAGAAATTGAATGTGTTGCGGATTCTGTACCAATAGAATATAAAAGAAATGCAGTAGAGTTATGGAGAAGTGGAACAAAAAAGTCAAGAACTCTTGCATCTATAAGAAATAGATTTCGGAAAGTCACGTCATTACGTCAATTAAGAAGATGGGAGCAGCAAGTAAATCAAGGTGGCAACAGATTTGATAAACTGAAAGAAATTTCAACATATACGTTAAATAAATTCCATGAAGGTATTGAAAAGGGAATAATTATTCATGACATTGATATTGCTCGATGGGCTCTTCGCGCACAGAAGGAAGTAAATCTACTTGGGTTTACAGCATCATTATCATGGGTAAAAAGGTTTAAGCTTGCACATAATATCGTATCTAGAAAAATTACAAAATTTATAACAAAAAAAAATTTAGCGTCAGACAAAGATTTAGAAGCACGAAGCAAGTCATTTATCGAAAATGTTAAATCTTCTATTATACAATATGGAATTGAAAATGTATATAATTCGGACCAAAGTGGATTTCAATTAGAATTTCATTCCGGTCGTTCACTATCACCTATTGGTATTAAAAAAGTAGAGCGCATAGTACAATCCATATCAGCAACTACACATAGTTATACTATACAACCTATTGTTTCAGCTGATGGTAGATTATTATCGCCTCTGTTTATTGTTTTAAAAGAACCTACTGGAACATTTGGTCCAATAGTAAAAGAAACAATGTTTAAAGATAATAATATCTTTGTCATGGCATCAAAATCTGGAAAATTAACATCGCATCATTTTGAGATCTGGATAAAAGAAGTGTTTTTTCCAAATGTTGGACCAAAATCAGTGTTATTATTAGATTCTTGGACTGGTCATTGTCCTGATATAATTCAAAGAAACAAACCAGATTTTATAGACAATATTAATTTGTTAACTATACCAGCTGGAGCAACGGGAAAAATACAACCTTTAGATGTATTCGGTTTTCGTTTATGGAAAAATTTTGTTAGACATTTTTCAGATACCATCATGCTTTTAGATCTTGACGTCAAGCTTCATTCAAGAAACAATATTTTAAAATTACAATCATTAACACATAATCAATTTTCATCACCAAGGTTTAAAAATTTATTCAAATATGCATGGTATAAAAGTGGTTATTTAGAAAAGAAACCAGAAGAATTTGATACACCAGTAGATTTTTGTTTCAAAACTAATTTAAAACCAACATGTGATATTTGCGGTGAAATTGCTGTAATTTCTTGCGCATGGTGTAAAAAATCCCTTTGTATAAATCATTTCTTTCATGATCATCATCTTTGTAACCGATATCAACCATGAATATTTGTTATTCTTGTATGCAATAATTATGTACGGTATTTTATGTAATATTTCCATATACATATATATAATGACTTCGGAATACAACTTTATTATATATGATTGAATTTGTCGTTAAATGAGCTATAAGTTTTGTTATGAGACAAATTTAAAAATTTTCAAACATTAAAAGGGAGGGGGGGGGATTTCGAAAAATATGACATTTTCGACAAATCTGATTACATGATTTTGAAGTACATTAAAGACCATAAAACTTTTATTTGAAACTTTTGTTTATATCTCTTATCGCTTCGACGGTATCCGCTGAGAAATGAAAAAATCGATTTTTTTCAAGAAGGTGTTTCACCCCCTTAACGGCCGACTCAGCACTTATAAAAAAATACGTGTCTCCTATTTTGATCTAGACTACAACATATTCAAAGCTCATTAAAATCGGAGGGGGACACTTCCGACCCTTTCCTTGTGAGTATTGTATCTCGCGTATTAAAGAGTACCCCGCTGTAAATTATTCTTTGAGCTTCCGTATCGCAATGTGTGAGATGTTATACATCACTTTATTACCGCTTTCATCGTTGTATTATAGTCACACATTTTGAATAGATCGTTTCCGTTATCACGATCCCTGACCTTCGCATCAGTCGTTACAAGTCAAGTCCTTTGTCTTTCAGACTCGGATCTTCGATTGTTTATATTCCGAGATTTATCTGTTCGTTCTTAGTTTGTTTTTTTTTGATACCGAATTATACATATATTGATCTTATCTCTGTTATACCACTTACTATCTGTACCATTATTGTTTAATATATTTAGATAATTATAAGGAAAATAACTGACTGTCGATTATTTCTCTCTCCTAAATACTGTCTAGCGCTCTCTCTCGACATCTAATCCACAAAGAACTCCGCCCCTCTGCCAAACACTGAGCCCGGGATTACCGGATCTTGCCGCTACCGTATCGTTATCGTGGCGCGGAAATACCGCGCCTGGCGCCCATATTCTATCTCCTTTTTTGTGGGAGATTCTGTTACCGTACGTTACCGCCATTTTGAGATACCGTTACCGCCATTTTAAGATCCCGATACCGCCAATCACTGACACCGCCAAATTTGCACGCCACCTCCTCGGGAGCGGCGTTCCCGAGGCGGGCGACGGCGTCGCACTACGTTATCGTTACAGTTACAGAAAAAAATGTAACGTCGTTATCAATCCGTTATCAAAAAACAGAAATAAAAAACAGTAATAAAAAACAGTAAATAAAAATAACGATAACGGCGTTATAAGTAACGCGTTATTCCTTGTAAAAATTTAGTGAATCAAAGAATTAATAGAAATAGTGTAACAGACACAGATGTTATTCGGCTTTAATCAATCAGTTTTGTATTGTAAGTTTTTTTTTATATTCCAGGAAAATTAGTATGAAGTTAAAAAAAAGATCAATTAATTTTCTGTTTTAAATATGATATCATTATTCATTATGTATTTGTCTATTTATATATTAAAATATTACGATAGAAACTTCAATAAAAATAAAGCTATACGATGAACGTAATTTCCATAAAAACAATTATATGTGTAAGCTAAAATTAGAAGAAAGAATTTTTATTTTTACAGAGAGATAAAAAATTAGTTTAGTCTGAGGAAACTCAAATTATTTGAAGATCAAGATGCCTACCTATTTTGAAGGTGATATTGTCATTGCGGGCATTTCAGGTAATTATACCTGTCTCGAATGGTTATGATACAATCACAATTTTATTATAAAATGAATATTTGTAATACATCGATATTTTTCCAGGCCGCCTGCCTGAATCGTCAAACATTGAAGAATTTAAAGAAAATTTAATGAATGGGACGGACATGGTCACTGAGGACGATCGACGTTGGAAACCAGGTCTTTACGGTTTACCCTCTAGATTTGGCAAACTTAAAGATCTTCACAGTTTCGACGCCTCTTTCTTCAAGATATCTCCTAAACAAGCGCATATAATGGATCCGCAGATGCGCATTATGCTGGAAGTGACATTTGAGGCACTGATTGATGCTGGTATCAATCCTTCTACCTTGAAAAAATCGCATACTGGTGTGTTCATTGGTGTTTATACTTCGGATGCGAATGATTTTTGGAAAAGAAAACCAGAAAGTAGGTATATTTTGAAAATTTATTGTGAAAATCTTTGTCTGTGAAAATCACATTATAAAACAATATTCTTATGTAGTTAGATTAATTTTTGAATATTTACAGTGAAAATCATATTATAAAATACTTACAAAATACAAAGTATATTAAATGTTTATATCTGTGTGATGTTGGAGTATGTATGTATGTTAAGAATCTACATCTAGTAAATAACACCATCCTCACTACACTGATGAAAAACAGTGGCGAATGGACCTTGAACTGTCTAGGATAGTCTCGCTAGTAAAGATAAAAGTGTGTGTGATAGTTTGGAATCTATAAGATCTACAGAAAAATTTGTGCAATCATACTTGTACCATAAAAAGGGATTTATACACAAAATAATGAAAAGAATCAACTGGTGTAAAGGAAATAATTATTTCTAAAAAAATGTACCTGCTCGTTGCAAATTCATATTTTTTTCTTAAAAATAATGATGTGCTTCTTTTACAATTGATTCCTTTCGTTATTCTATGTATAAAAATATTTTATGAGATGTTTTTTATGTAAAATTTTATCTAAAAGTATAATATATCTTATAAACTTTTCAATTTTTGACTATTCTATCTTTGTAATTTTTTACGGAATATTGCGAGTATATATAATAGTCAATTTATAGGAAAAATTAAGATGATTCCATTTATAAAAAATGAAGATAACCTTAATATTTCCGAAGTGCCTCTACCTGGACAAAAATTATTATAGTTATGTCATAGCTCCCTTTATATCATGCAATCTTAGTTGTACAAATTTATTGCCTCATTCTGCATAGATGTGTTGTATATGTATGTGTATGGGGTGTATGTGTTTATATATATGTTTAATATATGTAAATTTTTAACACTTCCATATGATATATGGAAGTGTTAAAAATTTACATATATTAAACATATATATAAACATTACATATATTATATATATATATATATATATATATATATATATATATAAACTTTTAATATAATGAGTATAAGGAAATCTTTCCCCTATCATTAGTCGCGTACGAACGAATGTAATGTTCTAAAGTCAGCCCCGAAACTGTCTATTTTCGAGAGTTCCACCCTTTGAAACTTTTGAAATCATGATCAAAATGTCTTAATTTTGAAAAATTAACATATTAAAAATTTATCAAATTCGACGGAAAGACATTTTCCATTAAATTAGCGGGATTCTTTATTTATACTAACCAACGATTTACATACTTTCGACACGTTTATTTTTGTTTTCTTTTTTTTTTTAATTTAATGTTCTTTTATCACCAGTGAAAAAAATCCATGCAAAATCGAAACGTTTGGTTTATTATATTATGTTTTTTTAATATAATGAGTAAATTTTACTAATTATTACATATCATTGCAATAAATGACGCAGTAGTCTAGATTCTCCTTTCTTTTTATGATTAGTTAATTTGGTTAATTTAATTAATTTAAAGTAAACATGATGAGAGAATTCAGTCAGTTAAATTGTTATCTTTAATATTATTATGCCCTGACAATCGAGGTATAAGGCCTTCCTCTTGTACAATAAATATTATAAAATATTATATTATAATTTTTTCATATATAATACATATAATACATATTACATTGTAATGGATATACATTTAGCAAAATTTCAACTTTTGCTACAAGAATACTATAAACATCAGTCGATAAAATATACTTAAAATAAGCTAAAAAAATTATCGTCTATTTGCAGGCCATGAATGGTTTCGAAGTAGCAAAGGAATGATAGCCAACAGAATTTCTTACACCTTCGATTTAATTGGACCCAGCTTTTTGGTAGATACACTTTGTTCTTCGTCCTTGACTGCTATGCATCAGGCAATCTTGGCGATACGCAGTGGCGAATGCGACGCAGCGATCGTTGGTGGATTGAATCTCGTGCTCGATCCGGTCAATAGTCTTCATTATCATCATATGAATATACTGTCCACAGATGGCAAATGTAAATCATTCGACATCTCAGCTGACGGTTACGTGAGATCCGAAGCAGTGGTCGCAATATATTTGCAGAAAATGACAGATGCGCGCAGAGTTTATGCCACAGTAATGAACACGGCGATAAACATGGACGGCTACAAGCCCGAAGGTATTATGCACCCGAGTGGTGACATGCAGTATATGATGTTGCAGAAAATGTACAATGAGGTGAATATCGATCCCAAAAACGTAGTTTACGTGGAAGCGCATGGTACCGGTACCAAAGCGGGTGATCTGGGGGAACTCGATGCCATCGATAAGTTGTTTTGCAAAGACAGAAAGACACCGCTGTTAATCGGTTCGGTTAAATCAAATATGGGACATGCAGAAGCAGCTAGTGGATTGAGCGGGATTGCCAAAGTACTAATTGCAATGGAAACCGGTGTGATTCCGGCAAATCTGCACTTTGCCGTTCCAAATCCAAACATTTGCGCGTTGACCGAAGGACGTATTCGCGTAATCGACAAAGCTACGCCATGGAATGGCGGCCTTGTGGGTATCAGTTCATTTGGTATTGGTGGTACGAATTCGCATGTCATTCTGCGCAGCAATTCAAAAGTTAAGGTATCATTGGATCATGCTGTCGAGACTCGGTTGCCCAAGCTGGTCGCTGTATCAGGCCGTACAAAAGAAGCTGTACAGATAATACTCAACAAAGCAAACGAGCATCAACAAAACAATGAGTTTTTATCTTTACTGTACTCCTTGCACAGTGATAATATATCAGAACACAACATTCGTGGCTATGAGATACTCGCTTATGATAGTACGCGCGAGATTGTCGAGGCGAATTATGACGAGAAACGTCCCGTTTGGTTCATATTTTCCGGTATCAATAGTCAATGGCCGGGTATGGGACGCGAATTGCTTCATATCGAAACGTGTCAGCGTAGTCTACAGCGATGCGCGGATGTATTAAAGGAACACGATGTTGATCTAATGAATATCATCATTAACGGTACCGATGAAACATACGAAAACGTATTGGTTGCTACTGTGTCAATCGTGGCCATTCAAATCGCTCTCATCGATATGTTAATTTTTATGGATGTGCGACCAGACGGTATAATTGGACACTCCCTTGGCGAAATAAGTTGCTCTTATGCCGATGGCGCGTTTACCCTAGAGCAAACGATTTTGGCAGCCTATTATAGAGGAAAGTCGATCATAGAATCCGATTTGGAACCAGGCGCTATGGCGGTGGTAAACTTAAATTGGGAGAAAGTCAAGAAAATGTCTTTGACCGATATAACTCCAGCCTGTCATAATTCCGCGGATTTGGTTACCATTTCTGGCTCACCCACGTCCGTGAAAAAGTTCGTAGAAGAGTTGAAGAGCAAAAATATCTTAAAAGAGAGATAATCCTCGACAGCATTTTCTAAAGTAATCCATGATAGGAGATGTTTCCTTTAAAAATATCGACATATCTATGCGATTGCCATTTCAACATGTTCGTACTTCCGCAATATCGAGGAAGCGACCATTCTTCGCGCGGCACCGTACGCTGGCATGCAGTTTCTTTTCTGACAACGAGTTCAAAACAACATCGACCCCACAGCCTTCGGGTTTCGTCCAAATAATCAGGCTGTTCAAAACTTCGTATCTCGGGAATTGCCAATGTGCTTGTCGGTCAAGTTGGCGAAAAGTCTTTTTTGAGATACAATCGTTTTTCCTCTGTGCCGACAGTGGCGAAGACGTGGGCAGCGGCGTGGCAGGCAATATTGATTTGCCGCTAGGCCACGGCACCGCGCACAGAATGAATCAGTACATTTTTGCCCGCTTTCAATCGACCTCGTACAAAACAAAGCATAAATAACTGATGACATAAGCGAATGGTAATTGTCGCCGCCTGCTCCAAATGTCCATTCCTCAGGTAACTTTCCAAAGAAAATCGGAATCCGGCACAACGGTGGTCGTCAAACCTCTAGATTTAGTTAAACCGCCATTACTCTAACAACCGTTGGTCTCTACCGGAGAATTCTAATCCTAAAACATTTTTAGTCTTCTGTGACAAGCCCTAACGATAAAGAGGTCCATTGATAGTTTACCAGTCGCCAAACAAAATATCCTATTAGTATTAATCAATAAATATTTATCATTGTGGTAACTATATTTTTATTAAACAATTTTTAGAGTAGAATTTTCGGAAAGCAGCAAAAAAATGATGCTTGAAACTTGCTCCTGAAATTTAATGATGCAATAGTAGCAACACGTACAAGAGAGTAATTTGGATAATTTGGTCTACAATATCGTTAAGCGGACTTTGAATCCATTCCAACTTTTAAATTTCCTGTCGTCAAATGTATCACATAGGCGTGCTCTAGTTCCACATAGATATGCTTGATCTAATTGCAAGTGCCGATAATAATTCTTATAAAACTAAAAACTAAAAAAACTCTGTCCATTGACCCCTTTAAAGACGTTAGCCATTAATTCTTTTTCCTAAATTGTCTTTGGTCGTAGATATTGCGAGAAATAAATCAATAATTTGGGAGCATTAACTATCCTGGATGTAAATGTAACGCACGTTTTGGCGACCTCCCGCCGGATGGCAAATGTAACGAATCCGATTAGACCTGAGAATAAAAAAGAACAAGAATTTTAAATGATTCGTTGGTCAACTCTCGGATAAAGCTCGAAAAAATTTTTTAATAAATACTTTTTTAAACGCGAATTTTTTTTCAAAAAATATTATATATAAAATGTATAATACCAAGTAAATTCTTCGCTTTGAGATACAAAAAGTACATTCTTGATTTCCCTGTCGAATTTTACTCAATGCCGCTTTCGATTTGCCTACCATGAGAATCGTTTTCTGTGATCTCTATTAAGATCGGTTTCTTTTCTCAAATTTTTGCGCTTCTCAATAAGAAGTTAAACTCTTACCCGAGGAGTCGATTTGTTTACCAATTAACATCAATGCGCTTCCTTTAGTGCAATCTTTAAGTCGAATATACCAGATCTCCTCTAGAAGAATATAACAATTAGAACTTAAGGTAGCCGCAAGATTTTTGAGAACGAAGCAAGATCGGCCAGAAGAGAACTTCCGCTGCTATGATGAGGTGCAATTATTCTGAGCTGGAAATGTTCGTTCACATCCAATTTAATTATCATTATATTAATTGTCGTTTGATTGACTTATCGTATAATCGGACGCGGAACTGACGGCTAACTCTGTAAAATCAACCTAAAATGATAAAAGTGATTGTTTTCAAGGGTTTCTTATATAACAAATTGCGCAATTTATGAAATATTTTCATATGTATGTATCAAAAATGTGTATCTTAATACTATAATATTGCTCGAAACTATTTATGGTAAAGATTTCACTTCTTTAACTCGACGATAGTCATTAAAATTAAATGTAGGCGATACTTTACGGTGACTAAGGGTTCGCAAGAAGGAATATCGTGTACAGGGGCGCCAAAAGCCTTTCTGCGGCTCGATATCCGCAATTTGCTAACGCTTTGATTCTCCCGATGCGTTATGTTTTCACATACAGTTTGTACAGTAAGACAGTAAGTATGTGAATTTTTTTCTGTCTTTGGATCTTTTTCAAGACCTCAAGCTCTTGAGTTTTCATATGGCAGCGAAAAACACGTAGCGTTCGTATTTGGGTGTAGTTGTCTTCTGGGCAGTTCGCTTTGAGGTGCGGTACATTTCAATATCTCTTATTTCATAGCCGCCTGATATAGACTATAATTCGACATTTTATAGTGATATATCGGCAATCCGGCCGTTTTTAGGTAATTATTGACCAATTCGTTTATGCAATGGGGATTGATCATGGTGTACGACACTTCGAAACCATAAAACTATTTCCGGTCGTTTGAACAACAGTTTAATTGAAACTTGTTATCATATCGAAGAAACATTCATTACACCAATGTAACTGCCAACGGTGAAAGAAATGTCAATAGCAATTTTTAATCCCTTGAAAATACCACTGTGTTCGTAATCCACGTAATCTCAATTCCCTATACATATCTCGTATTCAATAAAAGCTTGTGGACGGCATCGGAAGCCGATGTAAGGTTTAACTGATATCTTTCTCAATAAATTTCAGCAATGGAGGATATTCCCGCTGGTACATCGTATTCGCTTCGAGAAATCAACCAAATCTCCCGTTTCCTCGATAAGTTTTATCAAAAACAGTTTTGATTGTTTTAATTCTCCGGTAAGAAGGTTAATGCGCTGAAGCCATATGTTCTCAAAGACTACTGGTAGTTTGCTTCGAAATGGGTATCGTGTAGCTTTTGCAAATAATTGCCAAAACCATTATAATATAAGAGCCTTGCCTGGGTAACAAATCGCCCAATCAATTGTGTTCCCTTAGTATGCGTCTGTTTTACTTGACAAATTTATCTCATGACATGCTCTTAGACGATTCTTTCGACTTATGCTTGAAATTGGAAATCTGCCATGTAGGCAGGATGGTCCCACTTGACCAGAGAACCGATCAATCGGTGTTCCGCGACTAACGGGAAAAACTGAGCTGACGGATACAATTTAGCGACTGTCGGGTGTGCGCGCCGCCTATGTAAGTCATTTCCCAGACATTAGGATAATAAAAGATCAGATTATTTGAATGATTCAGCTTTTGAAGACCGATATAATCACGTGATGGTTAGCGATTTACGTAGATTGTCTGTAGCAAGCAAGTGGCGCGTGATTTCGATAGTTACATCGCTGTCTTCGGGATGATGCGCGATCGCCTCCTGAAAAAGCACAGGTGACAGCAATATTATTCACGTGGTAATCCGGCGAACAAAATTGTGCGAAGTGGGCTATCCATGCAGCTTCGTGGTACCGAACTAGAAATCCATCTGGTAGATCTTTGCTTTGCCTTTGGCACACTCATATTTCGAGAGAGCGCGTAATTTTGATTAACTTGGAACAATGTATTTTGCTGTGATAGCAACTCCACAGCAATTGATCATTTGGCAAAGATATNCTAATAAATCAATAAATTAATCTAATGAATCATAATTATCTAATGATAAAGTTTATAAAGGAAATTAATGTTTTCAAATTCAGCTCATTCATTACAATTGTTTTAGTTTTATTAGTACAAGCACGTAAGTAAACAGACATTATAAATATAACACAGCAAAATGTCAAGCAATTATACAATTTAATCAATTCTAATATTTTAAAAAACTTAAATAAGTTAATAAATATATTGTAGATACAAAACAATATCTCTTTGAGTATATTGAGTGATATATTATTCATTATCGTATTGAAAAAAATATGTTAATTATTAAAATTATTTTTTAATGTTTTGTTTTTCCCATTTCTTTTTTATCTCCTATTTTCTTTCCTTTACAGTCAGATAATTTTATGATTATTTTGTTAAGGTGGATATTAATTAAAAAGCCATTATATGAAAATACTATAAATATCCTATTATTTGATGTTTTAAATGTGATAGTATTGTGTAATTATGTAAGTAGAAAAATAATAAATAAAATTGGCAAAAACAATATCAATATTAAAAGTATTTTGCCTAAAGATATGTGATGCGTCCAATCATTTTTATAGCTTGCAGTATGTAAAATTCAGCACATCGATTCATTATAGATTTCATTCATTATAGATAAATATATGATAAGCGATATTACGATGATCCGCTATTCTAAGATTCTCATTATATTACAGTGCAATTGTTAACAAAGCAAGTGTAGTTCGGAATTCTCATTTACGTTATGACCATTTCAAAAATTTTATCACCATTGTTAATAATCAGTTATGTGTGTGGAAGATGGTTTAAGAAGTCGAGTTTCCTAAAAGTGTCCCAAGACAATGGTTCGGTCTTTCGTACATATTTGGGTCCTTATCCAAGGCATGTTGCTGAGTGACCCTTATCCAAAGCAATAGTATTTAATTATCAAAATTTCAACCAAATTTGTTACTTTCACGTCGATGTAGATTATTGAAAACTCCAAACAGCAAATGTTTCAAATAGATTCTAATATATAAAAAATAAATATATCAAAAACAACGTTAATATTTGCTTGTTAAATGTATGTTTTAATATCTTGTTTGACAACATAATATATCTAACAATTTCTGTTTTTATAGTTGTAGTATGTAAAATTCAATACATCGATTATTCTATTACGGATAAGTATAATGAATGAAATTACAAAGGTCTATTATAACGTTTCAGTACATTTCTTTGCAAAGCAAGTATAGTTCGGAATCGCACTTTCATTATGAGCTTTCGACAAATTTTATCGCCATTGTTAATAATCAGTTATGTGTGTGGTTCAAGAATAATCGAGTTTCCTACAGGTGTCCTAAGATATTGGATCAGTCTTTTGTACATGTTGCTACTGTGGTCCTTATATAATTTTGTC